CTTGGCAACATGGTAGAGCTCCATCTCTACAAAAAATACAAAAATTAGCCAGGTGTGGTGGCATGCACATTTACTCCCAGATACTGGGGAGGCTGAGGTGGGAGGATCACCTGAGCCCAGAAAGGCTAAGGCTGCAGTGAGCTGTGATTACACCACTGCACTATGGCCTGGGTGACACAGTGAGATCCTGTCAAAATTAAAAAAAAAAAAAAAAAAAAAAAAAAGTTATACAAACTATAGCAAACAAAAACAGGAGACATTTCAAGGATTGATAGTCAAAAACTTAGAAAGGGGCAAAGAATATTCCCATTATGACCTTTATAACCCTGGATGGAAAGCTACAGGTCAATATTTTGTACCTACAGCCTTTTACCAGCACTACATACACAACTTAAGTAATTCAACTGCACAGGAAAACAATAATTATACAAATCCCATTTGAAGATGTATACCACTACATGATTCCCCTTTACTACATAATGTGGCAGTTTTAATCACTGAGTAGAAGTGAGTTGTTTTCCCTGATAACTTTAAAGTATGTCAATTACTAGACATGACCCAATTGAGGAAGATGAAAATTATTAGTTGAGAATCCTTAAGAGAAATTACTGGAGTTTACAAAAGCAGGATCCAAGCTATTTGAGGCTGTGGTTCTAAGACAGTTAGATTCAAACCTGGAAGAAGGCTGAAAAATTATCCAGAGAAGGCAGAACATGTCACTTGGAAAAAAGTAAGGCCATACTTCCCTTACACCAGGAATCAAGTTCTGCCTGGTTGGTTAGTTGCCCCAAAAGCAGCTCCCAACTCCACATGGAGTCAAGTGCTATAAAGAATGAGTCCAGATCTTTCTTGTGATGACATACCAGACCACTGGCCAACATGAGATGTTCTCACTGGTCTTTTCATTCTACTGATTTCAGTTACTGTGTTCATATATGCTAGGGCATCAATTTTTCTTTTTCTTGTCAGAAAGGAGCAAATGTGATACAAGCTCATAAAAGTGGAATATATTGAACAGGTGTTCCTTAACCTCTCAGCCCAATCCTAAAAGCTGCTAAGCAGTCTTTAAAAGCTCCAAGTGCTTCAATGCTTCTAAGGAAGAAAATACACACAAGTAACTTTAACTGACAAATTACAGAGAGCAACCATAATATGTGGATGGCTAATATAACAGTTCATTCCAACATCATCATGTTCATATAGAATCACAGAGGATGAATATCCTATGTGTTTTGTTTACATACAGAAAAAAATGTATATAACTGATCAAACACAAAACCTATGCTCTTGAGAAAGCTACAAGAAGAATGTAATAAGAATAAAATACTCCTATCCTACAGGTACAAATTACAAAACTTACTTTGCACAACATTGCACAGCCACCTGATGAGACCAACTTTGCTCCATCACACATGATTGTGTGAATAACAGAAGACAGTACTTATTATTTGGTAGTATAGAGTGATATTCTGTGTTCATTAAATATCTTATCTCATTTAATATTTGCAACACTAATAGGCAGGTATTGATAAGGAAATAGACTCAGAGACATAAAATAACCTGACCAAGGCCATACAAGTAGTCTTAAAGATCATTCTGCCTCTAAGTTCTTAATTACACACTATGCATAATGAAACCTCAAATACATGTTTAAGGAGAACATACAGCTTAAAACGTTTAAATTGAAAAGAAAATGTGTTCACCGCATTGACGTTTAAAAAAAAAAAGAAAGAAAATCCTACACACGCTCTAACAAGTTTTAGTACTCTTGCCAGAAAAAAAAAAAAAAAAAAAGCGAATCGATTCCAACTAGTCTATACTTTCATTTATATTTAGAATATGAGCTGGGCATGAGTATGTAATGAATATATATGTGTGTCTCTCTGTGTGTATAACACCCACATTATTCAAAAGCTCCCAAAAATGTAGAAAGTTTGTTCCAATCCTTCTCTATTTTGTCTACTTTAAGAATTCTTTGCAATATGCTTATGTAAATACTGATTTTAGCTGCTGTTCTCATTTCTCAGATCTTCTGCTTCTAAACGGATTGGAAAAGTGACAGACCTAAGCAGACATCTTTGGAACACAAAACCAAGGAGATATAAACAAATACAACCAGATCAAAAACAAAGGCTTCTCCTTTAAACCCTTTAATGTATCACTACAGATAAAAGAACTGAAAGTAAAATATACCGGTTTTGGCTAAGGGTGTGTATGTGTGTGTGTGCATGCACACACACCTGCACATGTATATACTCAGGTGTCTATTTTATTAACACACACAATGAATAGCATCTTACCTCTGTTGACAAAAGCTCTAGAGGAGTATAAAATAAAAACAAAGGAAGATTGTGAAGTTGGGGCATGGGAAAGTGTTCAAGAAAACGGTTCTAGATTGTTAAAAGTGCCTTCAGCTTTCTTATACCAGATTTCATGTTATGGTTCAGTTGTGCTAATAGCTCATGGACTCTGCAGGTGATTTCCCTCCATCCACACTTCAAAGACGTGCTGAAGAGGATTAAGGATAGACTTGAAAAATTACCATTTCACTTACCTGAAGCTGAGCCTTCTTTATAGACATAAGTAAAAAGCTATTATGACAGCACAAATCACAAAGCACAGTGTAAATAATATGTTGGCAAAGAACTAATGTAAGTTGTGCACATACGATTTCGACTTAAAAGTATGAAACTCCCCAGTGTGGAAGTTAGTATCTGAAATTATTACATGTGATACTATTGGAATGAAAGTTGAAATAGAAGATACTTTTCATGAGGACTTGGCAACAATATCAATGGATTTTGCACTCTGATAACATAACAATCACATTATTGGAAACACATCCTAGCAGGGCATTTTTGTCATAGTTGAAAGCTGAATATACATCTGGTATATATCTTCTCCATGTAAGCTAGTAAGATGACAGATTTTTATGTAAGCAAAGTAAGTCTACCAGCAATTTCACCAAAATAAGAAAAAACCTTTATACTCATCCAATGTGCTGTAAAAGTCATTTTATCAATAGACTTGTAATTAAAGACTCTTTAATCATAAGAATACATTATTAGAGAATAAAAAAAAAACCATTCTTGGAACTAGAGAGAAAAATAACTGCAAAAAGCATAATGAAAATCTCAATGTTTCGAGAAATGACTTTCTTCTTTCAGGGTGATCCTACTGACAATAAAAAAAACACTAGAATGTTCAGTATAGAAGTGATCAAGGACTAAGGTATAGAATGTTCAGTATAGAAATGATCGAGGACTAAGGTAGTTAGTGGCTTTGGCCTTCTTTCTGCTGAAGAAAGCAAAGGGGGAGGCTTTAGCTTTTGGATGGAGAATAGATATCGCAGTCTCCAGATTTTACTTCCAGCATCTCAACCCACATCCAGCCTGGTGTGAAGAGATGCCAGATGGGGCTACGTCTGTTATTTCGACTGCTGAAGCAGGATACTGAGTGTATCCTGCTTGTTTCTGTTAGTATGAATATTCAGCCACAATAAGTAGGAGCAAGGGTAAGTGTGCTAACTGTATTAAGCAGGTCCAAATCATCCTTATACTTTTTCTCCTATTATAGATAAAGACCAAAAAAAAAGTCAACATCTAGAAAATGCCACTTTTGCTAAGCTTGGAAAATACTCATTTATTAATGAAATGATGCTCGTTTCCATACATTTAATGTAAATGTATTGAGAGAAATATGTGAGCAGAAGAAAACCAGAGTAATTAGCATTGGAGACAAAAGTTAAAAGCAACTAAAGTGAATTAATTATTTTCCACTTTATTTGATTTTCTTGATTTCATTATTTTCTCAGAAAATGCTGAGGCATGACTGTATCAGTATTCATCTCTTAGAACACCAATTAGGTTCCTTTAAGTATCACAACAGACTTCTACATTGACATGTTATCCTATTGTACAAATAATGCTTATTTGTCAGTCTTTTTTATTTGTATCTTGAAAAGGATCACTAAATCCAGAAAGGATAATTTCACTATAAATAAATATAATGAAGTGACAACTGCTGTTTGAGAATGAATTTTAGATTCACGATTATTACAATATTGTGATAATCCCTGAAGGGCACCCCAGTGCCATCTTTCCTGAAGGACAGAGAATAAGATTCAGAAATATGGCCGGGCGCGGTGGCTCAAGCCTGTAATCCCAGCACTTTGGGAGGCCGAGACGGGCGGATCATGAGGTCAGGAGTTCGAGACCATCCTGGCTAACACGGTGAAACCCCGTCTCTACTAAAAAATACAAAAAACTAGCCGGGCGAGGTGGTGGGCGCCTGTAGTCCCGGCTACTCGGGAGGCTGAGGCAGGAGAATGGCGCAAAAACCCGGGAGGCGGAGCTTGCAGTGAGCTGAGATCCGGCCACTGCACTCCACCCTGGGCGACATAGCGAGACTCCGTATCAAAAAAAAAAAAAAAAAAAAAAAAGATTCAGAAATAAACTTTGCATTTTAGCAAAAATAAGTATATTAGTTTAATTATTGCTGAAAGAAAAACCTAAAGGCAAGCTACCCAGACTGTGAGGGAAAATATTCATTAAAAAATACTATCTCCATTCCCCGTCCTCCCCACCAAAAAAAAGACAACTCACTTTATATGAAGAGATATTCTTCAAGAAATCAGTATCTCAATGCATAATCTGAATTCCAACCCCCACATGACACTTCTTACTAAAAAAGTAATTGTGGAGAAATGGTGGCACGAACTAGTCAGGGTTCCCTGTATCTCCTTACGTGGCCAGGTAAGGAGCTAATGTCCTGGGTGTTAGGAACCAGGTATATACCTTGGACTTACTTATGATCCCTAGGGCCCAGCAGGCTATGTCTTCTAAAAGTAAAACAATTCCTAATAAAGAATGGAAATCAGTCTGCTCTTCAGGACTGAGAGATAAATTCTCAGATTTTTTTCCATATCCCAATGAGCATTCATTATAGAAGGAAATCAATGGCAATGCAAGGCACATATGTGGAAGTTGAGATAGACTTACGAAGTAGCCTGTTCCCAAGCTGGAAGGAGCTGAACTCTGCAATAAAGCATAAAGACAAAAGTGGAAAATCAGCAATGGTTTTTAACACGTTCCAATCCACACAGCTCATTACCAGCCCTTTGCAGGCTTTTCATCACTACATCGCATCACCAGTGTATGCTGCCCCTTGTCATCTGCTACTGATACAAACACCGTGTTGCTTAATTTTCCCCTTTACATCTCTCAACAACTCAGAGATGCTAACGTGCTATTTACTGAATTCCAAGCCTCTGCGGTGGATGTAATTGCCAATTTATTTGACAGGCAGCTGGGTAATGAATTAATGATGGCATTTCGCCCTGCACTGAGACTAAACAGACACGCATCAGCTTGCCTCCCTGACTTGCTGACATTCAATGCCCTGGTCTCAAGCTACTCAGTTTTGTGGCCGCAAAGGGGCAGGCAAGAGGAAAAAGCCCAGACTGACTTGAAAATAAAAAGCCCAGTGGGTTTGGATGACTTTTCCAGTGTATGACCTACTTGCCAGTTTATTCCCTAAAGGCACCAGTTAGTACACACACGGTGCTTTTCAAAAATGAGACATTTTGTAAACGTAATTAGTAGACTAAAATGCAAAGAATGTGTGGGCCAAGAGGAGCAGTGAAAAGCACCATTTTTCTGAAGGGTTTAAGTCACAAGAATTACCAGTTTAGGCTGTCATAGTTCTGACACACAGGGAACTTAAAAATGTTCATTCTGAAAGGAATGCACGGCATCACTTATTTGGGAAAAGAAGCCAAAAAACAAAAAACAAAAAAAAAACATATTTTAAACTTGCCTGAGATTCTCATTTTTGTTTGCTTTTTCTCCTAAAACCTCTCCTTATAAATTATTTCATTTTTAGCATCCTCTTCCTCTTTGTGATTAAGCTTGAAATGAAGATGAAGCAAATGCGGAATAGATTTGCAGGTCTCAGCTAAACATCCCTGCACCAGACAGGCCTCTTCCCTGATGAGCTTGGGTTGGGTGTTTCACCTTCCCAGGAGCAAAATGACCTCTGCCCTAATTCAACAGTTACTCTGTTCACTGCTAGCTCTTCTGCCTACACGTCCTGCCCCCTACTCTGGAAACTTCAGATAGCAGTAACCATCTGGCCTATTCATCATTGCTTCTTAGAGTTTCACACAATGACTTGCACACAGGATGCATTTAATAAGGACTTGTTGAATGAATGTATAAATAAATGAATGGATGGATTATGTGTAAGAAAAATGGCTCAGGAGAATTTGACATCTATAAAACTACAGGAGATGTGATTCTTCTTGATGCTAAGCTCTTTGAGGAGGCAATACAGTACTGCAACTATATCTACATCAAACAAGAAGAGTATGCTTCAGGGCATTCCTAAATGCAGCTCCCAAAGCAAAACTTTCTTCGTCTCAGTGTTTCACACAAACTCAGGGGAATGAAGCACCATAGATGTGTGATCTTGCTCACTGGACTCAGTTTTTTAAAATCCTGCTGCATTCTTAATCCCGTAAATGTATGGAGGGAGATCCACAGTAGTCATGGAGACAATTTCTCATACCAGTGACTAGCCATATGACAGCAGCACCTGTTTCCAGCACCCACAGCCCTCCATGCAGCAGCAGAAGAAAGCAAAAGTCGTTAGGTCTCCACTAGCTTGGAGCCATACCCCTGGGAAGTAAACTCATTTTAGGATGAATTACTCAGAGAGACCACGGGATTTGTTTATTTCATTTCTTTCCCTTCCTGCAAATGTATTTTATCCCAGAAAGAGAAGTACTCCCACCAAACCCACTTCCCTACCCCCACATACATATCATCTTATTGTATACCAAAGAAAATTACATCCTTCAGGTCTCGGAAAGCTCTGTTATGCTCATTTTGCATATATATTGTACATTACTCAGGGAGCTGGGTGGAGAAGAGGGCTTTGTTGTGCATATTTGTTCTGGCTATTGTTTATGCAGGTCTGACTGAATGAGGGAACAGTGGGTATCATTTCAATTTCTGATGTCAACATCAAATTACTTATTTAATTTCATGCCTGGCGAAGCATTGTATAGCTACACGCAGAATCATTTCACTTCATTTGTTATGCTGTGTTTTCGTGGCGATTGGCTTGCCTTCCAACTGACAGCTTTAATTACGACATGAATTTGATTGCACTGCCGAGGAATTAACATAATGCAACAAAGCATTTAAGCACCCTGCCTTATAACCCCCCTCCCCCAGACACGGGCACAAACACAGACACACGAGGGAACACAGACACAAGATCCCCATATACATAAAGGTCCGCTGGAATTTGTTTCAGCATTTGCTAGAAAGCATACAGATTCTTGTATCAGGAGCCATTCACATGTGAAAACCCAGTGTACTCTTCTTTTTCTTTTTTTTTAGGGAAAAGATGCATGGCATTCAGTTTTGATTTCAGGATCTGGCAGAAAACACATGTGTAGAAAAGCCCTCTTCTGATCGACTTTGCCAAATGTCCATGGCATTGACATTTCCTCCCCTCTTACACCCTTTCCACCACATTTTTCTTGGCTACTTGCCAACTCCCTTCAGTCGTAGCTGGAGAATTTCAACAGGAGTGACATCTATTTAATAAAAAGATTTCTGCTTGTCTAGTCCTACAACCCCAAGATTCTGACTACGGCCTTGTATTCAGTGAGAAATTACGCCTGGTCACCAACAGGACCCCACCATCAAAGTATAGATAACAGAAGTTACCAGCCACAGGGAAGTCACAGTTTGGCTGAGGCTCAAAACAACTATCATATATCCCTGAGGTCTTACTATCAAAAAGGCCCAGAAAAGAGTCTCTGTCATATATTTCTAATCTAAGTCTATATCTAAATATAGCTGCAAATATTTGGTGGCTTCAATAAATTTCCAAGAAATTACACGAACACAGGCAACAACAGATCATGCTAAAAACAAAACAAAGGAATGTTTAGAAACAGCGGTAATATTGTTAGAAATGTGTTGTAAGTTATTCACTTACAGATGTATATTTAGGGATTGGTACTGCTCTCTCATTTTAGAAGACACAGTCACCAAAGAAGAGACAGTCACCAAAAGGTAAAGAACCAGGAAAGAAGACAGGTGCTAATACCCTAACTATTGAACAATTTGACAAAACTCTTCTTTAATAATCAAGATCATGACTCACTGCAACCTCAAGCTCCTGGGCTCAAGTGATCCTCCTGCCTCAGCCTCTTGAGTAGCTGGGACTACAGGCATGCACTACCATGCCCAGTTACTTTTTTTTTCCCTAGAGTTAGGGTCTCACTATGTTGCCCAGGCTGGTCTCAAACTTCTGGCCTCAAGTGAGCCTCTTGTGTCAGCTTCCCAAGTGTTGGGATTACAGGCATGAGGAAGGTGCCAAGTCTCCCTGTTAATTTCCAATAAGGGAGGGCTTCCATTTTTCTTGCTTGGAGACTTCAAGCAAAGTCTGTCCAAACTATATAGCAAAAGAGGCCACAGAATACTGAAAAGGCTGTGAGTCAAATTGTGACTTGAAAATTAAGAGGATTTTTTAAAGAAAGAAACAGAAGTTTCCTTGGTTTCAAAAGCATTTGAAATAATATTATCCATCCATGTTTAGGCAAATACTTCTGCTGAAAAGGGCTTCATTCTTATTTCTTCAAGTGGTAGAGTTGCCATTTCATTCATATTTTCAATGCAGTAGGTAGAAATGAGAACTATTAAGAGGTTGAGAAAATAGAGTAGGAGAACATTTCAGCGGTTTGCATGAGAAGACAGGGATATGAGGAAATGCTGGCCAGCTGGCTATCTAATATGCAATTTCCGGGCTCATTATAAGCCATCTCCTGTTTAACATGGTCTTTTCATTCTGCTGGATTTTTTTTTTTTCATATTTGACCACTGCTCCAGCGATCTCCGCAAATTACCCACCTCCATCTCATTATATTGTAAAGGAGAGCTTTCTTAGAAGCACACTCTTTGTCTCAATCTTCATGCTACCATGAGCTGCAGGAACGTAATGGGATGCGCAGTTGAAAGACATTTTCCAGGAGGGAGAATGTTGCTGCTGACATTCAAGTCTGCAAGTAGATATTCATTAAACACTTGTTCTCTTCTCACTTCCCCCCGCTTGCCTTTCCTTCCATCTCTGTCACTAAGCTATCATCGAAGCTACTCATTAAACTCATGAAGTTAACATTTCTGTTTTAACAGCACACTTACAACAGGGGATTTCAAAATTGATTATCCATCTAAAATAGATGTGCTCCATTCATTATAAATCCACACAGAGAGGCCATGGCTACTATTACAGCTCCCTGAGTACAGACAGGACACATGTGTACTCCACCCCTAGGTGAGAATGTGTGTTCTGACCCTAGGGCTAATTTAAATTGAATATTTTAAAATTCTTCCAAATCACTAATTGTGTTCAACATCCCTGGCTACCCACCTTCATGTTATGCTTTTCTCTCTTGGGAGTAAAAAGGAGAAGGACCATGCCAGGAATTATATGAACAAGTAAGTTTCTTGCAAAGGTCACAAAACAAGCTCATTCACAGATCTTCCAGTAGTGTTTTAAAAACCTGAAATCTTAATCCAAAGAAACGTGCCTTGGAAATAAGATTACTAATAGCCAACCCAAACCAAAACAAAACAAAAAAACAAAAACAAAAAAACCACACACAAAATATATTTGAATGAGAAATAAGCATATAGTTGTTGGAAGAAATCAAGTAAAAATGGAGTAACAACTTGATAAAAGCATCAGGTGTGAAAATGCTACGTCACTTCCAACATCAATTATTCAACCTTCTGTTATGCCCACTTCAGATTGTCACCAACTCTCATCTCAGCCTTCTGGCTTCTACCTCTGATTTCATTCTTGCTCTCATCTTCATGGACAGTTCCTCATATCAAAGGCAAAATAAACATTTTAAAGTGAGAACTACAATTCCAATCCTTATAACATATTCCAATGGTTTTTAAGATAATAACCTGTCATGGATTGGGCAATGTCTCCCTGTTTACGTCTACCAGGA